ACATAACTTTCACATAACATTTACATGTTGGACTGAATCCCAAATCCCATTCCATTCAAATAAAGTTAGGTAGGCAATTTCTGTCAATTCCTCCTTTCATTTCTAGCCTGTACAATAACACTAATATAATACTGTTCCTAATGCCCTACCATAATCCATAGTTGCAGAACCAAGTTGTTAAATATATGTTTAGTTCTTTAAAAGCATATCTGAAAACATAATTCCTGGTTGCCTGAAATTTTGAAACAACTGTATCAGATTAATAAGCTGGTCAGGAAAGTTGCATTGACATGTTTCTCTGCTAGTTGTGCAATGATAAAGAATATAGTGCAATATAATAGATAATATAATATTTATAATTAAAGTTATAAAATTTATGCAATAGTGGCGAATATCTGTAGCTCGGGTGTAGGATGAGGGTGGAGGTTCATTCTCCGAGCTTGTGGGTTGGTTTCCGAACATTTCGTTACCAGGCTAACTTTCAGAAATGTTCAGAAACCAACCCACAAGCTTGGAGAACGAACCTTCACCCTCGTATAAAATTTATAATTATAATTAAAGATACAGAAGGATCCTGACAGACTTAAAAACTGTGCCCTATCTAACAAAATGAAATTTAATGGTGAGAAAAGGTTCTACATTTAGGCAAGAAAAACCAAATACACAGGTATAGAATAGGTGGTACCTGAATCGATAGTAGCAACTGCGAGAAGAATCTTGGAGTCCTAGTGGACAATCCCTTAAAAATGAGCCAGCAGTGTGCTGCAACTGCCAAAAAAGCCAATGCAGTCCTAGGCTGCATTAACGAGGGACAGAACCAAGATCATGTGAAGTGTTAATACCCTTTTATAATGCCTTGGTAAGACCACACTTGGAATATTGCATCCAGTTTTGGTCACCATGATATAAAAAAGATGTTGAAATTCTGTAAACAGTGCATAGAAGAGCAACAAAGATGATTAAGAGACTGAAGGCAAAAACATATGAAGAATGGTTGCAGGAATTGGGTATGTCTACTTTAATGAAAAGAAGGATTAGGGGTGACATGATAGCAATCTTCCAATATCTAAGGAGCTAGCTGCAGGGGACAGCCTATTATCCAAATCACCTGAAGGAAAGACAAGAAGCAATGGATGGAAGCTAATCAAGAAGAGAAACAGCCTAGAACTAAGGAGAAATTTCCTGACAGAACAATTAACAGTGGAACAGATTGTCTTCAGAAGTTGTGTGTGCTCCATCACTGAAGGTTTTTGAGAAGAGATTGGACAGCCATTTGTCCAGAATGATATAGGGTCTCCTGCTTGTGCAGGAGCTTGGGCTAGAAGACCTCCAAGGTCCATTTCAACTCTGTTATTCTGTTAAAGTAAAAGGCTATCGGTGGGGTAACAGGTGAGCAAATAGCGATGCTTGACAATGCCATCATACAAATATCATGAATCACTTGTCTCTGGTATCAAGAAGCAAATACATAATGGCATTGGCATGATGAACATCACTGTGCATGAGCTGTAGTTTTGGGATCATTTTAGTCTGTTGTGGATGTCAATAAAAAAGGCAATTTGGTGATAAATTAAAGGCTAGAGTTTAACAAGGTACTTTGAGATACTTTCTCCCAGATTTCTCCCTCCACACCTAAGTTACTGGTTCTGAAATAAACTGTCAGCCGATTAATCGCTGTTGTCTTTTACCTTGCTTTCTGGTGTCTCCCTACTGTCTTACACAACATGGTTGTAAGATAAGATGGAGGAGGAATGGAGAATATTTCCCTGACCAACCTAAAATAAGGTAGAAAAAGAGGTGGTGGTGATAGTAGTAATAGTAGTAGTAATACATATGTTGAATAATGAAGCTATGATTGTTTATGATTGCCATTATGTTGGTATCAACCCTGAGCACCCACATATCTTGATTTTCTCCAGGAAGATCTGCCAACTTGATCTTTCAACACTGTACCTATCCTACTGCAATTTAGCTTATCCACTATGCTAGTGGCTGTCTTCTTTTTTTTTCTCCTTCCACCTTTCCTAGCATTACAGACTTCTTAAGACAGCTATGTCTTTATATGTGTTGAAAAAAAGTGATAATTTAAATGTGTCATTTGCTCTTCTAGTGAAAACTCTGAATTGATTTGTTCTTTGATCCATTTGTCTATATTTTCAGTTTGATATTCTCAAGAGTCTTCTCCAAAACCAAAGTTGAAAAGAATCAATGCTCTAGCTTACTTCCTCAAAATCCAATTTCTATTTCCATAGAATGTTAAAGGGAAAACCATGGCTGCACAATTCTGATCTCTGTTGGCATAAATACAACACAGCATCTGAATATCTTTTCCAAGGACTTCATCTCTATTTTGTAAAAGTTTATCCTAGTGCGATGTGTTTCTTAACTGTTGGTTCCTTTACTATTGCTACCTGAACCTAAAAAGCAGAAACTGTTTTCCACTTCGGTATGTTCAATGTCAATTCTAAGGCTGGCTGTTGTAGCTATTATAATAACTTTGCTCTTCTTTGTATTTGATTAACCTCATTTACAGACACATTTTCCCCTAATAAGTGTTACAGGTAGATTAAAGTGTGAGGAAAGGAAAAAAGCTTAATCCAATCTCTAGTCTACTGAATTAAAAAAGACAGAAGAAATTATCACAATATGTATTAACAAGTGAAAAGAAGGCTGAGAGCCCACAGGGGGAAAGACTGGAGGCCTCAAATCACCCCTCATTGAAATTTGATTCTTCACTCTTGCATGTCCCATGATTTGGGAGAGAAAATTGTTCGTAATTGCTACAATTTTCCAGCATACCATTCACCATCCACCCCATAACCCTAATATATATGAGGCATGGGGCTCTCACACTATCTTTCTTGCCTGACAATTTCTATAATGCCAATTCCCAGCCATATAAGATAGCAATTCAGCCCTTCATCCCATTTTTGAGAGAGACAAACAAAAGGTATTAGAAACATAAATATATATATATTTCTCTCCTTTTAAATTAAACATTTAAAATGTGTACAGCCCACATTGCAGAATACGAACTACATATTATAATGCAAACCTGGTATATTAAAAAAAGAAAAATATGAAATGAGAATAAAATGCTCTGGTTATACCACAAGATGTCAATAGTCTGCTACATTTTTTTAAAAAATGGTATAAAATAACTGGATCAAGATTTACCTTAGTACAGATCACAATAGGATTATAAAGTAAATAAAATTAATATCTACATGCCCAACCTAAACAGAGGGTGCTGGTTTGAAGGCTGAAATTACACTCAATTTACTCTCCTAGACAGAGAAATAAAGAACACTTAGATTTTGAGACTTGACTAAGCACCACACCAAAAATAAACCTAATTATTTAGAATATTTTGCATAGTCCTAGTAAAAGAGAAGGTTTTTGAAACAAACCATTCCCCTACTGCAATTATCTAGACTTTTAGAATATTTTCAAAATTCCTAAATTTCCTCAGAGCCTGTGGAAAATAATGTTAGTCATAATTTTTTCAGCCTTGGTTAACAGTTGGTGGATGCTGTGAATCCAACTGATTTACAATGAATATTAGATACAGGTTAGTCCTTGACTTACATCCACTCGTTTAGTGATCATTTGAAATTACAACAGCACTGAAAAAAGTGACTTATGACCATTTTTTATGTTGCAGCATCCCCATGGACATGTGATCAAATTCAGACGCTTGACAACTGACTCATATTTATGAGGGTCATGTGGTTCACTTTTGCAACCTTCTCACAAGCAAAGTTACTGGGCAAGTCAGATTTACTTAACAGCTGTGTTGCTAACTTAACAACTGCAGTGATGCACTGAAAAAATGTGGCGAGAAAGTTTGCCTCTTAACTGAGGCAAACTCACTGAACAACTGTATCATTTTGCAACAGAAATTTTGGGCTCAGTTGTGGCTTTAAGTCAAGGACTACCGGTAGATTGCATAATGCAACAAGGAATATGGTATGTATATGTTGCCCTGTGGCAAGATGGGTGGCAAACCAATTTAATAAATAAATAAATAAAATCTAAAAATTAATGTATCAAAAACCAAGCTAGTTTTTTTTGATAAAAGATATAGTGAATCATTACAAATTATACATAATAATGAAACTAAAGCTGAGAGATTGATGTGCCTTGGTAGAATGTGTTTTCCCAAAAATGAAAAATGAGTGATTTTAAGATATGTAAATGCTGGGAGAAAAGTGATAGATAACATTGATATATGATTTTTTTGCTGAAAAAGGCAAAAATGATTCCATATAAGAACGTGTTTCTGTTCATGTGTGTAACCAAAGTATAAAGTTGTATATAAATGCAGTAAAAAGAAGGTACATTTGCCAGGGCAGAAAAGGTAACATGAACAGTATAAATCAGATTTAGCTATATTCCATTTTCTTTCTTGTCTTCTGCTTGTGCCTGCTGCAAAAAACTTGGAGACTGAAGCATTTGTTCAGATGAAAGTAATAATGGAATAGGGCATGGGTGTCAAATTCGCCGCATCACATGACATGTTGTGACATATCGCAACTTTTTCGCATTGCCGGGTAGGCGTGGCCTCCGCATTATGCAACCAGACCACGGGCCAGCAATTTGACACCCCTGGAATAGGAGGTAAAAAGAAAAAAAGCCTTATGGCTCAAAGATGAACACAAGTGTTTACCATCTTGTAGAAGTAGGCCAATTAAGTAATTGACTACAGAAAATAACTTATTTCTTGACTGGATAAATTTGGTCAGCTTACTAGCAAATCAGATCTTACTGAAGAAATAATAAAAGATAAAATTGTAATATCACAAAATTGTAATATCCCTCCACACTCCATTTTGATTCTGGCAAATTAGGAGCAGTAGCTACCAGTAATAATATTCAGAAAACTGGATCAGACCTGAAACCTCAAGTAGTTATATCAGAAAACAGAGTGCATGTAATACAGCCTCAAGGAAATTAGAGCAACAATATTCTGTCATCTTTAGTTTATATAAAATACTAACCTGCTCCAGTGTCTGAATTTTGTTGTCTTTAACTTGCAAAATCTCTAAAACCTTCCTGTCCTTGAGTTCAGCCTTCTGCTTTTCTCTAAAAACAAAAATATATTGACACTTATTAGTCATAATTTGCTACTAATCATTTGAATTTTTCATGTCCCAATAATGAATGTCATTTTAGAGCATGGAAAATTAAATTATCTGTGGCTGACAGCCTTGCAGAATTAATCATGGAACATATGGCAAGTGACAGCAAATTTTATCTGCAAACAATGAAGACAACTTTATTCTAAATGATGTAGTGTTTATCAAAGCAAAACTAGATATGCATACTTACAATATACATGGGATACCTTTCAGATTTCTGAAGAACTCTTCCCTTCCTGCTTTTACATTATTGATAGCAAAGGAATCCTAATTTCATGTTAGCAATATAGTAAGGGTAGCATATTAACAAGCATTGCTATTTTTCTTTTGGTATACTGTAAAGATATAGTCTATTAAAAAGATCAACAACTGTGAAGAAACTGGGGAGGGAGATTCTGTTCCCAAATGATTCTTACCCTGTATATCCTCAATCAAGTTCCAGATGTGGCAAAAATAAAAAACCAGTATGCCATAACTTACACTAAAAAATAAATAAATGAATGCAGCAGTAGCAAGGAAAAACAAATAGTGCTAATTACAAAGCAACATTTATCAGGTTTGCTACATTATTTATATTGTTCCATTCCTGCACAAATCAGAAAATTCAATATTATTAACATTATACAATTGTATACTGCTGGATTTTTTTTTCAATGATTATCGTGTTTTCATACAATATCTGGATATAATAATATTTTCTGAGTACATTTATTCATACTGCACCAACTTCTCCCTGCCTAACTAATTGCATATAAAATCATCACTTCTCATCTAGAAAAAAAACTGTGCTAACCAGGAAATCTTGTGAAAATGGATATTGGTAAGAGATACTAGCAACTGCATCTGAGAAGAACTGGAAAACAGTTCTTTATATTGGGATTACACAAATCCTCCCCAATCAACCAAGAGATACAAAAATCGTAACTGAAAGTGTAAGAACCCAAAACAACTTGTTTGTTGAAACATCAATATGCCAAGTTGTAAAACACAAGAAATCAACTTGTGATTTCTTATCTGTTACTGAAGAACAATGCCAAGCATGTCTCTTTATTGGCCCTGTGACACTCTCACTTTGGGTTCTGTCTAGAACCACTGCTTTTATGACTCTGGTGCTTGGTGACTCTTCTTGTGTTGTGCCTCAATGCTGTCTTTTATCAGCCTTTTCAACTCACTGGTAAGTTTTCCCAATGTCAGCCACATTGGGCTAGATGTGAATGGTACATTGCATGCAGGGTCTTGTATTGCCACAGCACTTCCTCTGCTTGATTTTTCTCCTATGTCTATTGTTGCCTTAAGCATTCTCTCAGCAGCTCATCTATGGATGCCATCTTACTGAAGTACTCCTGGATGATCTGAGTTTCATCCAGGACAATGATTTCGATGCTCACCAGACCCTGCCCATTCCCTTTCTGGCTTGTGTACAAACTTGAGGTAGAAAGCTCTGTACATTGTGAGGAGCTCCTGAATCTTCACATTGGCAGCCTCCATGTCCTCCTTTGGCAGCTCACTGTGCTGTCTGGATATCTGATGATTTTTGCCAGCTCACTGTACTGTCAAGGTATCTGGTGACTTGCCTCATCATCATGGTAGCCGGTCTGCATGTCTGCTATGGGGTCTTTTGGTAGTTCCACTCATACCTTCCCACTCTTGAGTACCATTCAGACACATGTCTCCAGTCCAAACGACATCCCAATGCCTTCACTGTAGATCAATGTCAGGTGGATCTGCAAATCATATCTTGTTCACTTTTAGCATACAGCTTAATGTCATCCATGTAGAGAAGGTGGCTGATGGTAGTTCTACTCTTGAACTTGTATCTGTATCCAGTCCTACCTGGCTAAGGAGTTCAAACCTATGCAGGATAGCAGTGTGGACAGTACATCACATTGGTGTATGCCACACTTGATGGTCACTTGTGTGAACTGTCTTCAGTTGACTCCCAGTGTTGTCTTCCACAATCCCACTGAGTCTTGAGAAACTTCCCAGGAAGGTATGGTTTGTTGGTCTAATTAAATTCCAAAGCACTTTCACAAAATATTTTTTTTAAAAAATAACTGTCCCCTTTATCTGTTTTAAACTTTCTTACATCAACTCACTGTTAAGCTTTTTCCAAAAGTTTTTGAAGTCTTTAAAATATTTTTTTCTTTACAATATCCTTTATAATCCAGAAAAAAACTAATTCACAAATTGAATTTTTATTCTACCGCTCAGAAAGATAGCTCTTTGATTATAAATTAATTACCTATGAAAGCAGTGAAAAAATGAGACTCATGTAAATGTTATATCCATATAGACTGCATTATGGCTATGAACTTGATTTGAATCATTTGACTTCATAGAAGTGAAATTTAACAAGGATAACTAAAAGTTATCCTTATTATTAGTCTCTGGACTCAAAAGAAGCAGACACTAAGCCTAATTGCCCCCTCCCCCCAAAGATTGATCCAGGGACTAAATCTCTGTTGGTTTCTTTTTCAAGCCCAATTTTGTGCTTATACCCATGACACAAGGAGATGAAACAAAAAAGAGAACAGTGTGGAGAAAGTTTTCTCTATCTTTCTTTCCATATCAAATATCAAGATAATTCTTCTCTTAAAAATGGATATTGTGGCTAAAAACTACAGGTAAATCTGCTACAGCAACGTTTAAATGCTTTAAAATCCATATAATAAGCATCTCACCATTAGTGGCAGTGAATTCCTTAATAGACAAGTCAATTTTAGTTCTATCAAGAGACCTTATTCAAGTGAGAGAAAAGAGGTATTTGCTGGCATGCTTCTAGCTCATATTTTTCCATCTTTGTAATGCTGGAATTTCTAGTGTGAGTTAATCCAATTAAAGATTAAAGTTGAGTGAAAGAATGCATTAATGTATTAATATCCAAGCAATTATAACATGAAATGATATAGTAAATAGGGTTAAATATAACAAACAGGGTTAAATTTTCTATTAGAGTTATTTATAGTGTGCTTTTTTAAAATTTACCTTAGATGGTTACATAATTAGAATTTTAAGAATATAATCTCTTAGATTCTGTTTAACAAAGGGAAAGTTATTTTATTTTGGATGAACTCAATATAATTTTTATTTTGTTTTGCAGGTAACGGATGTAAAAGAAATACTAAATGCACACAGAAAATGGAATCAGTTAACACTATAACACATAATACTCATCTAAATCTTACCACCAAATTTGCATATAGTGAATGTGAACAAAGGCCTTTAGCATAAATTAAAATCTGGTACAGAATTTTATCAGCATCTCCTCCTGGTGGCGTAGGATAACTTCCAACACTCATTACAGGGAAGCTCCCAAAAGAGATGCAAAATAATATTGTTCTGTGCTTCAAGCTTCTAAAATACCATTGAACCTACAGCTTCATTTTAAGTATGATAAAGAGAAAAAGAGGGGGGGGAGCAGATTTAAGGCTTGATTTTAAAGGTAAATTGCATTGTTGGAAAATTGTGGTTGATTCAATTAATATACACTATGCATGCCTATCATACATTAAAAAGTGTTTACACAAATCAGAAAAAATATATGCATGCACTGTCAAAGAGTTGATGATGATCAATGACCGAGACAAACTCCAGTTTAGCTAATTAGAACCACTGATGAGCAATAATGATGTGCGTTAAGAATATTTGCAGACTTCTTTAGGATGAAAAATGGAGTGAAGAGAGGCTGTCAATTTATACAAGCTTAAGCTCCAATCACTTTTCCCATAAGTACCGCCTATTTTAAATGTTTAACAGAGCTGTATTTAATCCACGGATTTTTCACAGTCACTTTTCAACAGCTACTGAAACCTAAAAAAAAAAAAAAAATTCAAAGAAATTATTCTAAACCATTAAGTAACCATTTTCTTTTGCATATGGCCCACACTATATATTATACGACATGACAGAATCATATTTTCTGGGATTTTGGCCCATTTTTAATGAGTTGTCAAAAATGAAATATTGGAGACGATGAGGAAGCATTTAACAATGAATGAGATGAGAAAACAGAACCTGACAATTCTAATACACCACAAATATTTTCAAAGGTATTTTGCACTCCTAACATATTATCTTTCCTGTAATAAATATGCAAAGCAATAGTGTTGAAGACAAATTATGAATATAAACATAAATTGCGGTCTGTTGTGAAAATCAATTAGATTTATTTTTACACAAAGCAACATGAATCAAGACAAAAATTGCATTATATCAGCTTCCACAGTTTAACTGGTGAAAAGTAGTGATGGCAATCCAATGAGGCACCCTGTGTAGACATATCTTTTACTTCTCATCAAAATCTTGAATTTTGAACTGGTATATACAGTAAGTTAAACATTTAATTCTAACGAAATGAGTTTATGATATAGTTTTCCTGAAAGAAAAAGTATCTGATTCTGAACAATCCCTAAATATAAACTGGCTAAGCCTATAGAAGCCAAGAAGCTACCTCATGCCAAGCTAGAGCAGTGGTCCATCTTTCTTATTTCTGCTGACAAAGGTAAGATTTTCAGACAATGTTTTGCAGCTCTGTCTGGAAATGACAAACGCTGAACCTGGTTCTTCTGCATTCAAAGCTTATATTTTACGCTGATTATCATAACAGGTACAATTTCTTCTGTATGAGAATATAAAAGAATAAAATCTAGGAAATCCTCCCAAAAGGCATTTCATCACAGGTCAATGAAGGAGGAGGAGGAGTTTGGCAAGAAGAAATCAAAAGCAGAGGTGTTTACAGATTCTGATGCTTTCATAAAAAGGGCACCTGGAATACCATGCATGTACAAGAGGTGGAGGCTTATATAGAAGCATCACTAGTTTTTCAAATGGATAGCTCCTTTCTTTTTTATGTATGATTTTCACAGATTTATTAACCAAGTAAATGATGTTTATAAAACAATGCATTTGAGACAAACGTTAATTATTTTTGTTTCTACCCCAAAG